TTACGGACTCTCTGGTGACTAGCAAGTCATCCCCTTGGCCCCCCTTCAGAGATACCGATTTCTGGATCAAGTAATAGCTTCTCTGACCACCCCTCTCTCTCTCTCTCTCTCTCTCTCTCTCGTGATTAGGAAGCTATCCTCTTGAGCATTTTAGGATGAAACAAATGACAACTTCTGTTCGCGTTGCTGTTGCCTTCTGATGCACCAAGCCCATTTCGGATTACCACTGTGTACTGAATCTTGAACACCATCGAAGATCTTGAGTCACGGCAAGATACTGCATAGGATTCAGAATTTGTTAAAAAGAGTTGTGTTTCCAATATGGAAAATAATCAATTTGTTTTTTAAATAAATTCATTGGATATGTTTGAGCATGAAATTTATGAGCGTCTGAACGCGTGTCGACGCACACGGAGGGTCCCGTCTCGCCATTACTACCGCTGCTAGGGAAAACTCAACTCGACATTCTTAACAACTATGAACCTAATTATTAGAAGCTGTTTCCTCTGCGCCCGCTTGTCTCCACGTTTTACGTTATGATGTATTTTAGATTTAAGCAACGAAAATTATGTTTAATGCGTGCATGAACTACCACAAAAGTTGATTAGAAATAAAATAAATGACTTGTCTATTTTCATTACTTCACGGCAGTCTGATTATTTTTCTGAATTATTTCGTTTTCTCTTGAGAAATTATAGAGCAAAAAAGTACGAGAGTGACACCCAAATACTATAAATAAAAACAATCTCCACTCAATTTATTTTTGACAACGTTTCGCTGGCTTGTTTTCAAGCCTCAACAGAACAAAAAGGTCCAATGCAACCTGATGAGGCTGGAAGAAAAACCAACGAAACGTTGTTAAAAATAAATTGAGTGAAGATTGTTTTTATTTATAGTATTTAGGTGTCACTCTCGTATTTCTGTGCTCTATAATTTCGCAAGATTTAATATGATTGAGAGTAATAATGTGGTTAATTATTTCGTTTTTTATTTTTAAATTAAAAGATTGGATCCTCTTTCTTTCTCTCTCGCAGCTCAAGACTTACATAAACATGCAGGAGAGCAAAGGCGTTGTCATGGCTGTAAAGCCACCACATCCTCCGCCTTCCAGAAGTTTGCTCCTAGAAGCTGTTAGATCCTGCGAGAAGATCTGCTTCTAGGTACTGTAGGACACCTAGGTAAGAGAAGCAGAAGCTGCAAAGCTGATTCTTGGTCAGTAAGTAGGCAAGTTGCTTTCAAGCGTTGTATCCCCTTTTTTTTAAATCTAGCGTCCATTGCGTATTAGTTTAAAAATTATTTTGTAATTCTTTTATAATTTTATAGTATTTTTCTCCATTTATTCCTCTGTTTACAATAAAAAAAGATGTTAATTAAAAATATATTCATGTTCGATTATTTCTGCTCTCCTAGTCCCATAGAACTTGTTAAGGCTGATTGTGTGACGTAATGTTTTGCCATTACTTTTTTCTGATTACTGTAACGATTAAAGGCAACTCATCAGTGAAGCAATGTTGTATTTACTTAATTGCTCTACCCTCAATTAACTCTCATCAACCATACGAAGTTGTATTACCGCGGGTTTATCTCGTGGCAAATAAACCGTCAGGGAAAGCTGTGTTTGTGAATAATAATTAAAAAAATAAGTTCTATATTAAGGATTCATTTTCTTTTTTCTTTAATTACAAGAAAAGATTTTACTTAGTCCTCAGAAGCAGCAAATTTGTAAGATAAAGAAATATACGCCACGTTGGAAGCTTAACAATGGCAAAGACTAGTATCGTAATACTCGGCACGGATGGAGTATACTGTAGATGATAGTTTTGCTCCAAATTTACTAGGAATACTTACAAGGTGGACGGTAGACTTTCGGTTTGACTATTGAAAGTGATAAAAATTCGAACTACTCTCGTACTAGCTAGAGAGAGCACACAAAAAAAGCACACTGGTAGTTTTCTTTCTCTCTCGTTGTGCTCAACTTTTTAATTGAAATTTAAACTTTGATATTACACGAGGATGAATAATAAAAATTAACTTGCCAAGGAAATTCTCGAGGCAAATAATAAAACTCGGTCTAAGTGAGCATCGCGCTTCCTTTCGTTTGCTTTGCTGTTGAAAATAACAGCTTCCACCAGAGGAGAACTTGCCTAAGTAACGAACGTGGCATCGGCAAAGTTAATGAAAACTATTTTCTCTCGGCGCGCGCTTACGCCAAATTGTTTGTGTTCTGAAAGAACGAAGCTGTAGCTTCCTCTTTTTCTGTTTTTTTACTATTCTCTCTGCTGCAATAGTCATTGGAGAATGTGGTCTCAGATTGGGAGCCTGAATGAAAAGTGTCGGAATAACTTTAGAAGATCGAGAAAAAAATAACGAGTGACGCGAGCTTTCATTCGAGTGCAATTGACGCATGTCAATTTGAATTTGCATAACAAGTGCACTCGAGGGAGAAAAGTACGCAGTGCTAGCGAGTTGCCGACCGCTTTTTTGTTGCTCGGCTGCAGAATAAAAAAAAAATTCACTATGCTTTTCGAAAAGCTTCTTTTCACGCTTTACACCTGCTACACCTATGCTTTTTATGTATTCACAACTATCATATTTTCTTAGCATCGATATATATATATATATATATATAAAACCCAACCCTGAATACTATTTCTTATAAAAGCCTAAAGCATTCTTTATAATTTTCTTTTACAAAAAAACATTCATAATTTAAAAAATATTTCACACATAAGAATATTACGTGAAAATTCTCATTTCAAAACCAAAACTTTTTTTTGAAATGAAAATATTATGTTGAAAACTACGTACATGTATGGTGTCAGAACGAACAAAGATATTTAGTAATAAAAATGTGATTATTCAATATTACTCCTTGACATTTAGAGCTTACAGTGAACATCGCATGAAAAGTTGAAACTTGAAATTTCTTGCAAGATCCGTAAGAGAAAACTTGTTTCGCTCGTTTCCTCCAAATACGGTACAATCCAATTAAACTAAGTCCAATCGAAAGTTAACTCACTTGGCGAAGACAGAAGAAAAGCGAGCGAGAGAGAGAGAGAGAGAGCTTGCGAATCTTGTCCCCGGTGACACGAGGAAAATTGATGTAGCTTCGTTTTAAGAGTCGCGATAAGAACGTGCGTGGCCAAAGAGGAGTCGAGGGAGGGAGAGAGAAAGAGAGAGATAGACAGACAGAGTAGGAGATAATTGCAACACTCTAGACGGAAGATCTGATGACGGAGCGATTGAAAGACTGAGGATTCAGATAAGCCCTTTCCGACGCAACGTCACGCACGTATAAAGTGAATGCATATTCAGCGATATTCACGATCGTTCTCACGCTTGTTATTAATTCTACTGTCGCGGAGGAATTTCGAGTTTGGTTAATAGCGGTGCTTTTATTTTCTTGCCTGCTGAAAAGATAAAAAAAAGAAAATAAGAAAATAAGGTGCAAATGCACTGTTATTTAAAGCATAACACTATAGTACTACTTTAATATTCTATAGTTTGAATGGAAAATACCGTATTTACAGACAATACCAATGATTTTTGAAGAACAATTATTTATATACTCTTCAAACGCTCATTTCCACACACTAAAAGCTAGAGCAAGATAAATTCTGTTATTCGTATACTTTTCTGTTTTACTACAACAAACTTAAAGGGAATGCACTCTTTTATAACAGGGACAGAGAAGACTCAAGAGATGAAAAGTGTAGCTTGAGGGGTTTTCCTCTTTTGCGTTTCCACGAACAGAACTTGACTTTTTCGCTGGCGTGTATATAAATCGAACGAAATTCGCTGGCTATCAGTGAGTAAAAAAAAAGCGTTAGAAATCTTTCTCTCCTAAAAGCATACGCAAAAACGCCTTGAGGCTAGAGTTTCCTATTGACTGCGCATAGCACTTCTGTAGATTATTATCCATTCTTTTTCCTTGAGAGGAATAATTTTATTCACCATTAACGATGGAAAACAACAGCGTAGCCAGAACACAAAAGCAACATCGGTGACAAATATAAGAAATGGGTAATCATACTAAACCGATATACGCTTCCAAAAGATTTATATTCCCTTTGCAATTATATAGTGCTGACCGACTAAAAACTAGGCAGTTGTTAAAATTAAAAAAAAATGAACGTGATTTCATAATTTTTTATATTTTCAAAAGCAGAATCTTCTCGACAGCTTTATAACGAGTACAAAAGCATGGAATACGAGTAAAATTTTCGTTCAAAGTTATTCAAATTTCGTAGATACCGTGAAATTAATTTATTCTGCTAAGTCATATTTTCTATTTATCCAGTGACTATTTTTGAAATATTTGAAACTAATTGAATTTTCAATGATAAAAGAATTTAACTAATTCTTTGAAAAATGCGTGAAATGGCGTGGTATGCATAAGTGTTGGTCTCGAAATATTTAACGCTTGCCATAATCTTATATGCGAATTAATAGTAGTTTATAGAGAGAAAAAGAGAGAGAGAGATAGAGAAAGAGAGAAAGAGAGAGAGAGAGAGAGAGATAGAGAGAGAGAGAGAGAGACAGAAAGTAAAACTGGCGTTAATAGCATTTCAGTGAATAAGAACGATAAGCAAGAAGCACTTGAGAAAAGTTGAAAAATCTTTGCAGGGGTTAAGCATGAACAAAAGCGCAAAATCCTCATTTTCTTGGCGAACTCACGTAATCTCTCAAACAAATAGTGCACATAATATTCATAGCGCCTGGCATGGCTTTATCTACGAAAGAAAATTTCCCATCGAATTATTCAAATGCGCTCGCGTTCTTAAGCGGAGGCTTTATCGCCAAAAAGTATAAAGCCCAACGAAAAATAACAGAATAAACGTGCGCGCGCGCGTGTGTGTGTGTATCGTGGAGTATAGGGCGTCTGCGCGCAACAAGGGAATATAGTGGTGGGGTTGACGCTTGGCGCTGGCGCTTTAGGGAGGCGGACCTCCATGCAAGCAGCGTAGCGCTCTTGCAGATAGTCTTGAACACGCGTTCGCCGGTGCGCGGGACACCTTTTCCTCGTTACAGCCGAGCCGTCATGCGTCGTGTGTGAGTTTGTGCGACATATATGACATCGTTAAGTACACACTGAAAGTTCTCTCATTTCAAAATACAAAGTGCAAGCATGCCGAGATCTTGCAGCTTAGTTGACTCGTCGCCGCCGGCATTATGTCAGCAGTTCCGGTAAGCTTGCTTTGAATCTAGTTTCCCGTCAGCTCAATACCTGATACGTTTATTATCTAGTGCTTTTAATTATCTTTCTCATCAGACTAGCTGATTTGTTGTCATAGCATATGTAGGGAATGGCTCTCTTCTCCAATTTTCTCTTTTATTTTTACTCGCTACTCTTCGATTTTATTTGTGTTGGTGATAATGCTAATCGATCATTTTTTATGATTCCAAGTGTTTTTATAAATACGAAAGCCTTGATAAAATTCTATTGATAGTTTGTTACCTTATAATTTTTATTATATAACAAACGAAATTATGAAAAATTTATGAAAAAGTTAATAGAAATGTTACGAGAATTTATATTGAAAATATTTTTTATAAATCAATTTGTCTCTCATCACATGAAGCATATTGAGTCAGACTAATCATTTTCATGTGTTAGTTGCGAAATATAATACTACTAATTCTGAAATAAATTAAAAAGAATTCGAGATATTTTTAAAAAAGGAGCTGATAAGCTATAAAGATAACAAATATAATTTTTTAAATATTTAAAACATAATTATTAGTTTGAAAAATCTTGGATAATCCATCAGAGTGCCGTCAATTTTCAATACAACTTTCAAATAAATTTTTTTTGGGAATAATGATTTTTATAATAAAGGAGATTTTTATTTTGGTAATTGAAAAATGTAAGTTTTTTGTGATCTATCTGTGATTATTGAGGATAATTAAAATTGAGTTTGATTAAATTATAAAATAAAACAAGAATATAATAGCAAGTCAATAATATCATTTTGAACTATTCATCATGGTAATGCATATACATAGTACTGTAAGATTACAATTCCTGTATAACTTATACTTCTATTATCTGTCAATTGTTTCACTAGATACATTATTCTGAAATATACTAGTGTAATTATGAACCGGGCAATACTTATATATATATACTTATACTTATTAATCAAATAATTTGCTCTAGTAAATAGTAACTAATGCTGTATGAACAAACTGTTTTATCGAAGCCACGTGGAATAAGAGCAAATAATGTTCTTATTCTCTACTGTGTTTTAAATATGTAAATTAAAAAATATATAGCAGTTTACTTAAGATTATGACAATTTCAGTGATTTATTAGACAAACGATTATTATATATTTTCAAATTTAGACATTGCATTTTTGAGTTTATGAAAATATCTGTTATGAGAAATAAAATTTTTTAATTATATAAAGTTTGGAACGTTTCATATTTTTTCTGATAGAACAAACATATTTAAGAAATAGTAAAATGTAATAAAGCAACGTTATTAAAATTTCTCGATGAGAAAGAAATGCATAAAAATCATTTAATAAAAAAAAACTCGGTTTTATTCATTTAGGAGTCGGTTTAGCGATAATACAATTATGTCTCTTTCATTGCAAATTGTATTTAAATGAATGAGCAATATCGAGATACGCTACCGGTGACAAACTTTGCAATTGAAAGTGAATGAAAACAAAGTTTAAATGGTAAATTCAATAGTTTCAGGCAAATACTAATTATGCATTTGTTTTTATTGTATATGTTATTATTTGAATGAATGAACATTGAGCTATGGCGCTAGATAATGTACTGATGACCAACTTTGTAACGTAAACACGAAAGTAAATCCAAAAAAAATTCGAATGAAAAATTGAGGAGCAAGTGATGTTTGGTTTACCTATTAATTCAAACTCGAGGGATATTATGATGGTTTCCAATCAGCGTCGATTCCATGAACAGGGTTAAAATCGGACGATCGTACAGGCATCATGTGAGAGCTAGCCTCTATTTACGCGAGTGCTGCGGTTAAATGCACTTTTGTCCATATTTCGGTGTGCTCTCGAGCGGAAGCGAAATTGCGGGGGACGACAAGCATGCCCCCCCCCCCTCTCCACTTTATGTACGGTCAAGCTGTATTTTATTTCGGATTAATTCCACTGGTCGACGATTGAAAATGATTTGTCGCGTGTGCACGAGCTCGATCGCGTACGAACCAAATCGAAATCGAACATACTGTGACAGCATGTAGTCCTCTCTTTCTACCCCTTCCTCTTCGCGTAGCAGAGCTCTCTTGTCGCGTCCGTGCGTTTAGTAATGTATACGAGGTCTACGTTTAATTACAAGCGTGGCTATGAAATGGAACTCCGGGAATGAATCACTAATCGTCCAGCCTTGCACCGGACACCGACAAGCATAATTTCGGTAAAATTTCCGTCCAATTGCTTTTAGTCAGCTTAATTTTGAAATCGTTATATATTCTTCACTTTTTCTCTTTTACTTTCCTCTTCCACTACCACGTCCTTGACATCTCTCTTGCAGTGCTCTATTGAGATAGATTTTAATTAAAAGTTTTAGCGCATATGCTTGTCGGATAGAGAGCGTTATAATAACAAAACAGATGCATTGAAGCTCAAAGTACAAAGCATCATGAATACACTGTTTGTAAAGTTTTTGCGTAACATTGAGAATTACGGAGGAGGGAGGAAAAAGTTTGACCCGCGCGTATTTCCAGTCATTATTCTGTTATAAGCTTTTTTCATAACTCCACTCGGGAAAGTTGACTTTTAAATTACAGTCCTCTCGTAGTATCGATATATTGATTTGTTAATTGAGATATAAGGTTTTTAAACTTAATATATAACTTATCAAACTTTCTCCAGATAACAATCCATTATGTTCTGATTGTTGCTGGAAACAAAAATACCTGTTTCAAGAATTGTACAAAATTTTAACGGATTGTTGTGAATTTCATTTATTTTGAAATCATGAAGAATAAATAAATTCACGTAAAATAACTCATTAATAATATAATATATTATTCATCAAATAGATCAATATGTAATTTGTGTTTGAAAATATCTATTTGAAATTAAAAATTATAAATTTTTCAATTGCATTCATAGATTATTATAAAGATGATTCAATTAACATCGATTTCATCAATTAACCTACTTGTAAATGTCTTATTTTCAGGCAAACACAAGTGATACCACAAATAGTTCCAAGTGAAGCAAAGTAATTGAATCAATCGTAGCTAATAAAAGTTTGAGCTAAGAGCAGAGGTGAAATGTTCTGGCGACAATGGCCTCTAATGAGAATGCAACACAGAAGTCGAGTAGATTACGTAAAAAATGATAAATTTGCTTTCATGATGATTCACGTCATCATCTATGCAGCATTTTTATATGGTAAGTTCATTCTTATAATTAATAATTTTTTTCGCACCGTTTTATAATCATTATCCTTGGGTCTTTATCGCTGTAATACTGCCATTTTAGTTAAAGTTAACATTAGTCAGATATTAGTTTTTATAACTTTTGTTAATGTTTCTGTGGTATAACGATTCTGTAATTAATTGATTGCTAAATAATGATGGGATACAACGGAATACTTAAAGAGAATTCGAATTTATATTGATTATCGAATGATAATCGATATGTTGACGATAGTGTCACGTTTTTTCCCGAAAATTCTTGGGGTGCTAGTACTTCATTCAAACATTCAAAAAAGTTTACAAGACAAAATAACATTTCAAGAATAGTAGTAAAATATATGAGAATTTTAGAAATAAAACTTTCATAATTCGATATCATGGTAACATTTCACGTAACTTCAGAAATAAAGTAAATGTGCCTATTTCCGAATTTGCTATTGATTTTTTCGCTCCCGAAGCTTATAAAAATAATAGGAAAAAATGTAATTTTTCATGATTTTTAGAGATTTATCGGTTCAAAATATACATCAGAATCATGATATGATCTTTTTTCTATTCGTGATTTTGAGGTTTACAAGATTTTTTAGAAGTTGTTTTTTATTGTATTAAAAAAATGGAAAATCATGTAAAACTTTTAATTGAGGTTTCTTCATCAAATTTTAGAAAATGTATATCGTAAACTAATGGGATGATTGTTTCAGGGTTTTTAAAATTTTTTAGAGTGACCATAGTCCATAGAGCGATAAAATCATAAAACTAAAAGCATACCCTATTTTACATTTTATGGACATATCAGTATTTAATATAATGGTGTCAAATTGTAAAATTTTTTTATGAAATTGCTCATATGATTCAATTTTTGAATCATGAACAATAACGTTCAAGATACTAGATTTCTCAAACTACTATTAATTCCTTATAATAAATTCTAAAAATTAATTTATCTTCTATCTTCTTATATTTCTTACGTTTATTGATACAATAAGATGCATAGGTGTAACGATAACGAAAATAAAGGGAGTGATTTGTTTTTCAAGCATATTACGCAAATCAAGAAAAGGCTTACACGATTATTCGTTTGGATAATAAGCTAGTTCTTTGCCGTAGTAAAAAATGAAACGATAACAATTGCTTGTAATTAAGCTAAAAGAATCAGACGCTTAATTAACTTGCATGCGACTAATTCGACTAAAGAATTACACAGTTTTCTCAGTAAGTCTTGAATGAGAAAAAGAAAGAGAGAGAGAACAGAATAAATCTCAATTGTAATTCGGAACGCGAGGTTTTTTAAGAGGTCACCATGTCAGCCTAATTACCATTCAAAAAAGCAATAATTCAACTGATCCTCCATGTCATGAAAATAATAACTATTTACTTAGGCGCTACGTGTCCAGTCGAGACGCACGTAATAGGTTTCTCGCAAGCAGTCATTTGTTCAAGAACCCTTGAACGCACACACGCTGAGGTATACCATGCGTGAGCTATTCATAAATAACTTGAGTCCTTACTAAAGGGATAAATTATTCACGTTGCCAGCGAAATGACGAATGAAGTGACAAAAGTAATGTTGGCTACTTATAGTTTCAGGTATACGTAAACGAATATATCTGAATTAAAAAATTTAATTGTTAGCCAAAGGGAGATTTTTGTCGATCTATAAAGAACATTGCTATTTTTATAAATAATTCTGTATTTTTCATTTCCATTAAAATTATTGACATAAGCCTCAATTTCTCATTTAAAGATAATTCGTATATTACAACTGAGGTATATTCAAATATGTATATTGCGTGTATATCAGATAGTATTAAATGACCGAGGGCAAAGGCAACTCAGCGTATATGAGGAAGGTTGACGTGAAGTCCATAGCTCACTAATTGCTTAATCAAAGATTCAGGCTGTTCGGTTAAACTTCATGCAGCGATATATATATGGCGAAAATGAAATTTCAAGACGCAGCATGGTAACGCAATATGCATGGGAATGATTAAAGCGTTGCAACGTTTGCAACGTCTTCGGATTCCCATTATGCATTCTCTTCTTCGCTTGGTTTCCTCTCGGTAAGACTTAAGGTTAATTAGTTGGAGACGGCCGCTCATTCAATATAGCGCTTGCAGCTCTTGCGAATACTGACCTAGTTGCGGACATTCTCGGCTCCTTTCCGAGTCACTGCTGGATTAATCGCTCACTGCACGCTTGCCAACGATCAACCAGTTATCGAAAATAATTAAATTGTCCCAGCTATGGAATTCAGATACTCTAGAAAATATTAGGAAGTTCATCATCCACGTGGAGTGTGAATGCCAACGGATCTATTCACGAAGCAATAGATTATTGGGTGTTTAATTTTGCCTGAACTATGCACGTTGATTTATTATTTAAAATTCTACTGATAAAATCGATTACCACAACACATAGTACATATAATTACTATTAACAATGTTAACGATTTTTGACGAGCTCGTTAAAGTATTTAGAATTTATGGATTAAAAATAATTTTTAATAAAAATGTAATGATTTTCTTAATATTCTTATCAAGATTTGAGTCAGTCGTTAAATTATGAGATTATTTGCCAAATAAATAAAAGCAAAGAAAACTACTTTCATTATGTAGTACAGTTAATAAATCCGTATAAATAGTCTTTGAAATTAATTAAATGAACATTATCTTTGTTTTCATTAGTTTTGTGGTGGCTATATTTATGTCAAGCATTGTTTCTATTTAAAGATTTGTTATGAATTAAGTTTACTCACCATAAATATCATGTCGCTTTGAAACTTCTCACAATTTTCAAGTTCGGAGCACTATCGGGAAATTTATAAGAGACACGATTTAAATGGTCAAGGTACTTGCACTAAACTTGTTATTGGTTACTTGCTAACTTACTTTACTTATAATTTCATTTACTACCAGTTAGGTACTTCTCAAAATCAGATATACTTAGAAGTTTTAGACTCCTTTGAATAATTCAACATATGACTAATAATCTGTTTGAGGCCATTATTAACAGTAATTTGATTAAAAAGTTTGATATTTAGTATAATTAAACATATTATTACTCTCAATCATATTAAATTTTGCTAAATTTTAGAGCAAAGAAATAAGAGAATAATGCTCAAAGACTATAAATAAAAACTCTCGACTCAATTTATTTTTGACAGTGTTTCGCTGGTTTGACTTCTAGTCTCATCGGGTCCTTTATTCAAAAAATAAATCAATCGATTATATAAATATGATAATAATTTTACAATAAAAATGGTATCAAATCGAATAAAAAAGAACGCGTACTAACGCAACTGCAAAATTTTTCAAAATGACATTATTGATTGTTATGAGTCAACAAAAAATTTATTGTAAATTTTTCTAAATAAAATAAATAATATCGTAAAGTTACTAGTCATAATATATTACATAGCAGTCGGAACATGCAATAGAAAATATGAGCGTGAAGTTACACGACACAAGTCAAACTGAGAAACAATGAGAAAAATACGAGTAGAATACAAAATTAATCCTATTAATATATGAAATCATTAGCAAAGCTCATTTTTAATAAAACAAGGATACGAAAATATTACATGGAATAATAGCTTATGAAATAATGTGGTATTGGAACCAGTAACGATAAATCTATTTAAGAAGTTTAAGAATACTATTGTATTGTTTACTGAGATATTGAGTATCCTCTTGTCTGTTAATAATTACTGTATGTATTAATAAATATCATTTCGGAAATTAATCTTTTATTCTTACTAATCTCTTTGTCAAAAATTCGAACATTGTTAAAATCAAAATGGTGTGTCGGATTTTCAGTAAGATATTTAGGTATCTTTGCTCTACAATTTCGCAAGACTTGATTTATCATGATATCAGGGTTGTTTTTTCAATTTAATTGATATCTTATTATCGTTAAAATGCAGGTCATACGTGTTATTACAAAACCATGATGAAACTTATAAGCCACTTTTCGAGAAAATCTAGCGTAGAATGAAGAGATGACATTGGACTAAGACAGCGGCGTGAGGTCGTCGGCTTTTCCGTTTACAGTACAACACACGACCTGTGCGCACGAGACAGAATGAAATTTGGCCGTCGAGCTCTACTCAGCCGAGTTATGCCTGGGTCTCAACATTTCTCCCTTATTCCTTCTTCTTCCGAGACGTGCACGTACTTTATTGACACAGCGTGAGTCTACATTCGTTTTAAAGGTCATTGGGCGTTGGTTCTTACTTTGATCTAACACAAACGACTCTAAGACTGAAAGTAACTTTAGAACTTTAATAAAGTCAAATTGTGCTTAAATAACATTTGATTAACTCGCGTTTATATTATATGTATACGAGTAGAAATCTCGAAGGTTTCAAACGATTTTTACAGTAAATAGTTTTTTGAAAAATAAAAGTTGAACATGAATGGAGATATCACCGGTATAATGCTGAAAAAAGTTAATTAGTACGCATTTACCGAAGTATTTCGTGGCGTAGAGAACAATGTATCTTCCCCTATTCCTTTTAAAGTCAGATCAAGAAAGTTACATCATGTTCTTTTGGATAGTGGCCAAAGTAAAGTACAATATGTACACGTACATCCTGACAATTTACTCGTCTCTTATTTCATGATCTTCTTTCATTAATAGCTGACAACTTTGGAGAGCACGCCAACTCCATCTTATTTGATGCATTTTAAATTGATGAAATGCTGCTAGCCTGGTGAATGATTAATCGATTAAACTGAGAATTTAATATCTAGAGTACTCGTGATTGAATATAATGAAATTTTTATGAGATTTTTATATGATGCCATATGGAAATACTCAAATTATTCTTATCGACTTTTAAATGAATATATTTCACTTTTTATTGAACGCCAAATCACTTTTAAAACGCCTTAGGATACGCTTCTATTCAGAGATTTTTTTATTGAGCTTTCAAACTTATATAAAGTTACATTGTATACAATGCATATTTACAGT